TGGGAAGAAATTGTGAAGGAATGGGAAATGTATTGGATTCATAGGGAGCTTTTCTTTCTTTCTTTCTTTTTTTTTTTGGTTAATCCTTACCTGAGGATATGGATATATATATATATATATATATATATATATTTTTTTTTAATCCTCACCCGAGGACATTTTTCCATTTTTCATTCAGGTAGAGTGGGAGGGAGAGAGAGGAACAGAGAGAGAGAGAAACATCGACGTGAAAGGAACACATCGAGTGGCTGCCGCACGACTGACCAGGGCCGGGGACAAACTGCAACCGAGGTACGTGCCCTTAGCGGGAACCGAACCCGGGTTTCTCTGGACCGCAGGCCGACGCTCCAACCGCTGAGCCAAACTGGCCAGGGCTATATATATATATATTTTTTTTAAGAGAGTGTAAGGGAGGGAGGGAAGGAAAGGGTGGATGGAGGGAGAAACATCAATGTGAGAGAGACACATTGATTGGTTGCTGCCTGCATGTACCCTGACCTGGCCCAGGGATCGAATCTGTAACCCAGGTACATGCCCTTGATCGGAAATCGAACCCGAGACCCTTCAGTCTGCAGGCCGACACCTTTAATTGCTGAGCCACACCAGCCAGGGCCATAGGAAGCTTTAAATTCATTTAGACAAGATACATTTTGAGTGCCTGTTATTTGCTGATGGGTATGCAGATGAAGAAGACGCAGTCCTTGCTTCAAAGTGTTCAAGCTAGGAAACAAACAGAGTAGTAAGTGCTGTAATGGTGGGTGGGAGGTTGGGCGTTTATTATGGGAGCCATTGCAGGTTCTTGTGCAGGGGCCTGAAGTGGTAGATTAGGAAACAAGTCTGGACAATGTGAGTATGTAGAATGTCAAGGAGGATGACTAAAGGCACAGATGCTAGTTAAGAAGCTACTACAAATAGAAGAAGCCTAGAATCTGGGACTTACATTGTAGTTGTCGTAAAATTGCATAATTATCTGAACATGTGCTTAAGCTGAAAAATATTTCCACAAGAAGTTGTGGAATCTTGTATGCTTTTAGAAGCAAGGAAAATTATTCATTATGTAGAATGATCTGAAGTGTAGTTATTCTAGCCGTAGCATTCAAGTACAGTTTTGCTACAGCATGTTTTTAAATAATGTGAACTAGTTCACAAACAACTGCTAAATAGGGCAGTGATGTCAGTATAACCCAGAAGTCCCATTGGTTCATATGCAACTTTTCCCAACAAATTAATATTTTGTACCACACGTTACTTACAGTTTTATAATAGTTAACTGGAAAAATACATGCTTTATGTCTGCAATAGGAAGCTGTGGCATGATTTGATTGTTTTAATAGGCTTGCTCAAGCAGTAGAAACAGGAAGTTACTGCAGTAATCTGGGCGAGATTAAGTAGATGGAGATTAAGTATAGCAGGCCATAATGAAAATATGAAAGCCTACCTCCCTAGAGAAACACATACACAAGGAGATGTGCAAAAGAATGTTTATTGAAGCATTGCTTTAATAGTGAATAACTAGGCCCTGGCTGAATAGTTCAGTTAGAGCGCTTGTCCTGCTATGCCAAGGTTGAGGTTCAGTTCCCAGTCAGGGCACATATAAGAAGCAACCAATGAGTGAATGAATGAGTGGAACAACAGATCAATGTTTCTCTATCAAATCAATTAAAATATTTAAGGTGAATAACCTGCCTTGGCTGGTGTGGCTTAGTGGTTAAGAGTGTTAGCCCATATACTGAAGGGTCTTGGGCTTGATTCCTGATCAAGGGCATGGACCTGGGTTTGGGGTTCGATCCCCAGCCCTAGCTGGGGCATGTGCCAGAGGCAACTGGTTGATTGATTCTCTCACATTGATGTCTCTCCCCCCTTCCCTCCCCTCCCACTCTCTCTAAAAAAAAATTAGCCCTGGCCGGTTTGGCTCAGCGGTTGGAGCAGACCAGAGAGTCCTGGGTTCGGTTTCCACTAGGGGCACGTACCAAAAAAATAAATAAAAGTTCGAAGTTGTCATTGCTTATTTAAAAAAAAAAAATCAATGGGAAAAATATCCTTGTGTGAGGATTAACCAAAAAAAATAACTAGATTACCCATCAACAGACTGGATAAATTATGCAGTTTGAATTAAGTAGAGCTGCATGTACCAATGAGTTATTAGACAACCAAAGAGAAATGTGAGATATACAGATGAATATGAGTCTGAAGTTCAGAACAGTTGTATAAGCTAGAGATATAAATTTGGCAGTCATTAGGGTATAGTTGCTGCTCTAAAGCCACAGGACTGATAAAATTACCAAAGGAGTAAGTATAAATAGAAAAGAGCTCAGAGAACCGAGCCCTGGGAAACTATCATGTAGTTTGCGGAAAGGAGGAAGAACTAACTAAAGAAACTTGAGAAAATGATTTTCTGGAAACAAGTCTTTCAGGAAACAGCAGTCAGTTGTACCGTGCTGATAGGTAGGAAGGATGAGAACCTGATTTAACAACATGGAAATCCTTGGCAAGAATTTCAGTGCAGTGTTAGAATTGAAGGCCTGATTAGAATACTTTGAGAGAAATTGGGAAGAGGAAATTGAAGAACTTCAAATTCCCACCACTGCATCTACTTACCTAACTATTGTGCCAAAAGATTACTTTTTCTCCTGTTACTATGAATGATCTGTCTGTGCCTCTGGTGAAGGCCAACTTCAGTTGTGCACTTGATTCTATCTTCTCTAACCTATTCAAAAATATGGACCTGGGAAATCTCCCCTCCCTCTCCTACATCATCCGTTATTTTCTCTGTGCTGCACCATTCCCATCAGTATATAAACATGCTGATATCTTTTCCATTAAAAAAAAAGAAATACTTTCTTGACCCAACTTTCTCCTTCAGCTACTACCAACATTTTCTTCCCTTTACAGCAGAACTCTTTGAAAGAAATGCCCAAGTGCTCTCTCTAGTTTTTCTGTTTCATGTTCAGGTATAGTCAGGGAATAAGCAGACAGTTAGATTTAATCACGTTGTGGTTAAGCCATGTGAGTATGATGAAGAGCTAGAGGAACAAGGAAGTTAAAATTGTATGCAAGTGTATGATTTAAGCTGCTTGCTTAAGAAGAGAATACTTGGGAGGAGTGGGAGATGTGTAAAGGGGATGGTATCAATGGACAAAAGCTCTCTGTGGGGGTCAAGGAATCATTGGAATTAGGGTCCTTGAGCTGTAAAGAGGAGTTAGTGTTAGAGAGTGACCTGTTGAGGTCATTGAAGAGTCTGAGTTATTGATAATGACAAGTTCAAGGTTATGACCAAAGTTGTAGCTGAGACAGAATAGAAGAAATTACAGAAGAGCCTTTTAGCTCAGCCAGTGTACTGAGAGGCCAAGATACTAGAAGCATCATCTGTGTGGGCATTGAAATCACCAAGAAATATAACTGGAGTAATATTATAGAAAGAGTAAGAGAGGAACTAAGTTCTTAAAGGAACAAAGGGGAATTGAGGGAACTGTCCTTCTGATAACTGCAGTAGTACCCAGGTAGCAGATACCATGGTCTGATGACATGTTTTTAATAGGAGCAGAAGAGAATAGACGGGAAGCAGAGGTGAAGAGAAAGGAACCAGTGTCACCTTCATGCCCAGTGGTATCAGAGAGGTTTGGTAGAGAAAACAGCTTCCACTTGAGAGGGATTCAAGAGAGCAGCCCTGTCATCAGAAGTCACAAACTCAACTTCTGACAAGTTTAGAGGGCTGGGTGCTTTCACAGATTAATACTCATTTTTCTTAAACCAGAGTCCTCATGATAGAGACATGAATAAAAAATAGTCTGTAAGAAAAATAGCCATGATACAAGCTTTATGTTTGGAAGACAGAATGACAAAGAGACCATTTTAAAGGGAACAGCTGTTTTGTCTTGTTCCTGTGGCAGAATTCAGGTCTAGTATTGCCAGGTCTTTTGATACTTTGTGAGAGAAAACTGGATTTTTATGTGAAAAAGACTTAAAATACTAGCTTTTTATTTGTGCAGTCCAAATAAAACATGTCAGAGACTGCATTTAGCCATTGTCACAATTTTATGAACTTATTTTAAAAAATAGGAACTACTAAGGTGTGTATTTGTGAGTCCACCGTTGTCAAACTGGCTGGCTGTCTTGCTGCGTGGCCGGCCACCATGCAGTTCTGTCTGCATGTGTAAAGAGAGGGACTGTCTACAAGCTGATCACCAAGCAGCACTTGAAGTACCTGGCAATTTATCACTTGCTTAACTGATTATTGCTCAAACAGATTTTATTTCGCCTCAGTTTTTTTACTTCAACTCTAACCCTGATAATGGATTTGCCTTTGAAGAGAAACACACCTAGTCTTTATAGCCTACACTTTTAATAAAGTAGACCTCATACAATAAAGGAAAGCTTCTAACAGAAAATTTGAAGGTTCTTTAACCCTTAAAAAAATGGCTAGTTAATTCCTAAACAAATTTTAATGTTATAAAATATTTAATGCTTCTTCTTGAAGTAGAAGTCCTAAAGATGGTATTTGGTTGTATTTGACCTTGGGCAGGGCAGCAAACCCCCCTAGACTTAGTTTCTTTATCTGTAGAACAGATTAAAAATGCATGCCCTACCTACTTTGATTAGGATCAAATGAGAGTGTGAAAAAATTACATCTTCACTTTGTATGGGTGCTTTGTTTTATTATATCCTATTAAAAAATAACAACTTGACTAAAACTAGTGAGTCACTCTAGAGAAAATATTTTAGATTAGAATATATTTAAAATTTAGGAAACCCCTTGAGTGGATATATAATCTACTTCCAAAGGCAACTTTCCTATTGAAAGGTGACACTGGGTATCATTGTGTGAGGTACTGGCTGCAAAGTATCATCTCTTTAGCTCTGTAAGCATGACTAGTATTTTGGTTAAAAATCCCTAGGAGACATAGTATATACACACTCTTTCGTAGGGCCTACCATCACCTTCCTTTCCATTCTCACCCTGTACTCATTTTTGTTTTCTCTTCAAAATGAACAATAATCACTTAATTTATATTTAGTGAGTCTGTTCCAGCAGCATTTAATACACACTCAAAAGGACAAGTCTTAACTGAGAAATACAGGATGCTTCACATTCCCAGTAATTTTTTTTAAGTCCCAGTGATGAAAACTAAGGCAGCTTTCTGAAAGGAAGTGACATTGATGAATCCAGTGCAGCCAGTGTGTTGAACCAGAGGTGATAAAATCTTTATCACATCCAGCTGGACTGTCCTGCGACTTATCTGAGTCTTTCGGAATAGTTACTCCTTTTTATTAGTTGTATGGTTGTTATAGAGCCATGGAAGGAACAAGCTGAACATCAAAATCATCGACAATATACCTGAAAGACAAAATATAAGAAAATAAAAACAAAATGATCTCTAAGGAAGTTCATAATTGCCAAGTTGGTATAATTTAAGATTATACACGTAAACTAATTAGTAAAATTCAGCACTCTAAAAAACATATTTTTTTGCCGATCTGACAAAAGAAAAGGTACAATTTTGATTCATTGGCTGTTGTCATTTTTTTATTTGACAATCTAAGGGAAAAAAGGTCAGTGCCCCTGACAAAATAGTAAGGTATTGCATGTTTTTAAAATTTTTGCGGCACACCCATTGAAAATTGCTGCCCTAGCCCTGTCTGGGTGGCTTGGTTGGAGCATCATCTTGTACATCAAAGGGTTGTGGGTTCAATTCCTGGTCAGAGCACATACCTAGGTTTTAGGTTCAATACCCAGTTGGGCACGTATGGGAGGCAGCTGATCAATGTTTCTCTCTAAAAATCAGAGGGGATATATCCTTGCTTGAGGATTAGGGGGAAAAAGACAGGAAATTGCTGCCCTAACTATGTACTGGGAGAATGAAACAACTTAAAGTGCTCTTGAGTTTTTGTTTGGAATGCTCAAAAAAGAATAATATGTTAGATTACTTTATCTCTTCTCATTTTTTTCATCAGTCTTAATCATTAATAGCTTTTAAAGCCATATCAAGCAAAATTTAAAAAAAAATTTGGTTAATGCTGAAACTTTAAATTTAAAAAAAAATTTTTTTTCTTTATTGATTTTAGAGAGAGAGGAAAGGAGAGAGAGAGAGATAGAAACATCAGTGAGAGAGAACATCGATTGGCCGCCTCCTGCATGCCCCCACTGGGGATCAGCCCCGAAACCTGGGCATGTGCCCTGACTAGGAATAACCGGAGACCTCTTTGTGCATGGTTCGATGCTCAACCACTGAGCCACACCGGCTGAGCTAAATTTTAAATATGTAAAAAAAGATCACATATTAGTAAATCTTCATTTTGAGGTCAAACCAGACAAATCTAGCTAGTAGGTACAGGTTGATTTCTCCGTGGGAAACAGGGATGGAGTAGAAGGAGCCAGGAGCCACAGGGCTCAAATCCCTGCCTTGAAAGGGAAGTCTCCAACAGTTAATGTGCTTATTTTAACAAAAAGCTCTGGCTCAGTTTTAATGAGGATTAAGAACTAGTTTTTGTCACATGCAGATTTGCTATTACATTACTCTTGTTTGGTAACAACAGGAAACCTTAAGGTTTAATTAGAATTTGGATAGTCTGATTTGCAACCAACCAAAAGCTTGACATTTAAAAAATGTTGGTACAATCTTTATGATCCACCAAATTTGACATTTTCTTTATAAAGTCAGAGCTAGAAATAAGATATTATTTCCTAAAATGGAATTCCCATTTCATAAACAAATGTAATCTGCTAATTTTCATTTCATGAAATGTGTAAATTAGAGAATCAATTTTATATATAGTCTTAGAGTCACATTTATAACATTTTAAATTGATTTTGGGGAAATGGCAGGGGGCATTAAAGGAATTACAATATCTGCTATGAAGAAAAACAAAAAGAATGAGGTCTGTGGTTGCCAAGAATAGTTTGCTCCCTGCTTGGTCAAAAAAGGAAAGGAGATAGCTATCTAGGGATTACTGTCCACCTCACTCCATGGCATTACCTAGCTTTAATAGGGTTTTGTGTATTTTGACTCCTTCTCTCTTACTTAGCTCTTTGAATGACTTGTTAAAATATAATTTCTTGCCCGGCTGGTGTGGCTCAGTGGTTGAGCACTGACCCATGCACAAAGAGGTCGCCGGTTTGATTCCCGGTCCCAGAGCACATGCTCAGGTTGTAGGCCTGATTCCTAGTGTGGGGCATGCAGGAGGCAGCTCATCAGTGTTCTCTCTCATAGATTTTTATCTCTCTCTCTCTCTCTCTCTCTCTCTCTCTCTCTCTCTCTCTCTCTCTCTCTCTCCCTCCCTCCCTCCCTTCCCCTTTATCTCTCTCTCAAATTAATAGTGAAAAAATAATAATTTCTTATATTTCCCATCCTTCTTAGAGTTAATTGTGACCTTATTTCATTTGAGGCCATTTTTTCCACAATGGAATGTAAGTTAACTTCAATGTATGACAAAATTCACTGTAAGCTGGCATTCAATGTTCTAAAAAACTGCAAGTTATTCACATGTCTTTTATACATATATACTGAAAGATCCCTGTACTTTTTCTCATTCATAAATCTCTTAAAGAGGGACAGGAATATGTCTGTCTGTCTATTTTTTTATCCTCACTGAGGACATTTTTGCATTTATCTTCAGATAGAGCAGGAGGAAGAAAGAGAAACATCGATGTGAGAGAGATACATTGAGTAGTTGCCACCCACAGGACCCCAACTCGGGCCGGAGACAGACTGCAACTGAAGTATGTGCCCTTAGTGGAAACCAAACTCGGTACTCTCTAGTCCATGGGCCGATGCTCTCACCGCTGAGCCAAACTGGCCAGGGCGAATCTTGTAGATTTTAAAACTATGCTCATTACAGGTATACACTGTTTCATGAGGTGCTTTTCTGCAAAATGAGTCAAATGAACTAAATTATGTTTTATCTGGAGTTCACAAATTTGAAAAAACTTATTTCTTTAGCCAAAATTTTAAAAAGATTATTTTTAAAAATGAAATTAATCACTCACATTTTTTTGCCCTGATATCTGAGGGGTTTTTTTGTTTTGTTTTGTTTTTTTTATCCTCACCTGAGGACATTTTTCCATTTTTTGTTCAGATAGAGTAGGAGGGAGAGAGAGGAAGACAGAGAGAGAGAGAGAAACATCGATGTGAAAGAGACACATCGAGTGGCTGCCACCCACACGACCAACCAGGGCCAGGGACAAACTGCAACCGAGGTACATGCCCTTAGCGGGAACCGAACCCAGGTCTCTCTGGACCACAGGCCAACACTCTAACCGCTAAGCCAAAGTGGCCAGGGCAATCTGAGGTTTTGAAAAGTGGTATCATGCTTGAAACTGACTACCGTAACTAGATACTTTTGTTTCTTTGAAGATAAAAACAGTTTTAAAGGATACTATACAAGATAAACTGATATTTCAGGCATATTAACTACTTTTTTACTTTTTTGTGCCTACTCTAGCTTTGGAAATTGACATGATACAGTGACATTCCACATCATATTTTAAGATAAACTGATCTTTCAATCATATTAAATAAAAATGTGCTTACCTAAAGAAGGAGCCAGCCAATATACTATAAAAAATTGAAGGAATGCTTCATCAAAACACTTGAAATGTAGTGAAAGTGCCAAAGCTGGATTAAATATAGCTCCTGTTAGACTTCCTCCTGTAATACATTTTAAACAGAATGATACCAAACCATGTATCTTACATTTTCTTGCAACTGAAAAATAAAGGGGTTACTAAATGTGACTATTTTGTTTTACGTAGTTAAGTACAGTTATCCCTTGATGTCTGGGGGGGATTCGTTTCAGAATCCCCTGCAGATATAAAAATCCATAATTGTTCAAGTCCCTTATATAAAATGGTGTAGAAGTTGCATATTATATATATATTTTTTTTTTTTTTCACATCCTCCTGTATACTTTAAGTCATCTCAAGATTACTTATAATACCTAATACAATGTAAATGCTATATAAATAGTTGTTTATTTTTTAGGGAGTAATGACAAAGAAAAAAATGTATGTATGTAGTCAGTATAGACACAATTATCATAGGCCTAGCTAAATAGTACATCAGCAACAATGTAACATTGTTTTTTAGAATATTTTTGATTCATGGTTGGTTGAGTCCATGGATTCAGAACTTGTGGGGTTCCAAATACAGGAGCCAGCTGTATTCTTATTCTATGATCTTTGCAGAATCACCTGTCATATTATAGAGGATAAAAATAGATGATACATTATAATATGCCAGGTGCAAAAAAAAGACAGGATATTAAGAGAGTTAACCCATTGCTTATCCTCTATATTACTGTAAAATGCACATTCAGAATGAATCTGCTCTATTGTTCCCATAAGGTTTTATAAAACAGGAGATTTGGCTGCCTTTAACAGTGATCAACTTAAATGAATAAATAATCAAAATACATTTAAAAATAGATATAGTGCCCCAGGTTCCTCTTGGGCATAGCATACCTTTGTGTTGAAAACAAAAAGTAAAATGGACCAAAGCATCATTGACTTCATTTTTACCTGTCAAGAGAGCCCTGAAGAAGTAACTGAATGGTATGTAAATTATACCTCAGTAAAGTGGCTACAAAATTTTTTTACCTAGTAGTGACTGAGTAGTCATGAACTCTGAGCACAAATTCTGTCGACTACTTCCCAGGAGCCGTGGTCTAGCTCCGCACCCAGGGTATCTCTCTGACGTGGGGCCTAGGAGTTAATAGTTCTGGCTACACAGAAAGAAAGGAGAGGCAGAGGAGGATGGACTGTCCGACAGTAAGCAGAGCTGTGGCACACACCCTAAGATTATCCCTGAGGTAGTGACATTTCTGGTGGCTCTTCCGTGTGGCAGCGTAGGCACATATGTGTCTGTCCCCGACTCAGCCACAGGGATAGAGCCCAAGATCTTCACAGATCTTTCTTACTTGGACATATATCATTACAGCATGTTCACTGTCTCCATAAAATGCAGCAAAGTACAATTGGAAATTAAGTGTACTTTTCATAAGATTTTACACTTGACAGGCTGAAAACATTGAAACTCTGTTGAGGTGAAGATCTCTTGATAGCTAAGAGTGTTCTTCTAGCACACTAGCCTTACAGCAATTCGTATTCATGCCTCAGCAGTTATAAACTATATCACATCATGGACCTTCAGAATCATTCTCAAATAGTCAAATCCTGCAATGTTAACTCTGCAACTGCCAAGGTGGTCATTTCAGTTCAATTACACAAAAAATTATTGCGTTCCTGTGTACTAGACACCATGGGCAGAAAAGTAAGGACGCATACAGATCTTTACAATATAATGTAATATGTGCTATGATAAGTGATCTGTTATTTTATTTTCCAATAAAAATAGACTAAACCGTTGCCCTTCATAATTCGTTTACTTGGTATTCTGAAGACAAAGACTTTCATTCAGTATATCCAAGAACACTGTCTTGTGCCATCCTAAAACTGAAACTACTTCACTCCCTTTATCTTTGATTCATGTCGCCAGTTCTGCTCAGTGTGATTTGGTGGAAGCTGCCTCTTCCACCGAGAGGCAGAGTCCATTTCTCCTCTCGAATGTAGACTGGCTTTGTGACTTGCTTAGACAGAGACTGCAGCAGAAGTGATGTTACATGAATTCCGAATGTGAGTGACACTGAGTTCTAGGTTCAGGTTTCAATGAACACTTCAGCTTCCACTTCTTGCTCTCTCAGAACAATGCCCTGACCATACGAGTTAGCTGGTCTGTGCTGCTGGAGGGGGAGGCCACATGAAGGAGAACCGAGTCACCTTGGCTGACATTTGGTACCAACTGCCAGATACATGAGTGAGGCTACCTTGGCTCTTCCAGCCCCACCAACTGACCAGCTATTTGATTTCAGAGGAATTTTTTATCTAACCTGCAGAATCATGAAAAAGAATAAATTTGTCATTTAAAGATTGGGGATGGTTAACACAACAATAGTTAACTGATATAGAAATCCATATCAGAAGCAGGCTTCTGTGTTAATGAAGCCCAAAACATTTACCATTGGCATTGGCTTTGACGTTTTAGACCTGATAATTCTTTGTTGTCTTATGTTTTATAGGATGTTTATTAACATCCCTGGCCTTTGCCTTTACCCACTAGATGACAGTGCACATCCATCTCCCACCACACCCATTGTAACAACCAAAAATGTCTCCAGACATTGCCAATGTCATTGGAGGCAAAACTGCTCCCTATGAAAACCACTGTCCTGGAGAAACGCTTGTGTACAAGTAGACATACCTGGATACAAGGTTGTTTGTTTAAAGTAGCAAAGAACTGGGAAAGACCTATATGCCCATTCTTAAGAAAATAGCTAAGTTAGTTTATTATTAATTTGGAATACTATTCAATATTTTGAAATAATGAGAAAAAAATCTTTAGTAACATAGGTCTCCCAAGATATACCATTGAACAACCATTATCAAAAAAAGCAAACCACAGAAAGTAAGGTATGAAACTTTTTATGTTAACACAAACACACATAATGGTTTCTATAGGGTCTTATCTATATAATATATATAAATGCACATAAAAAAGTTTGAAAGGACACACACTTTCTGGAGGGAAGAGTAGGCATGGAGGATGGCCGTCAAATCACTTTTAGTCTTACTGGTAGTGTCTCCATTTTTTACAAAAAGAACACATGTATTACTTGTGCAATTAAACATGAATTACTTAAAAAGTAAAAATCATGCACCAGACACAGAACTAACAGAAAAATGGCTTTGAAAAACAATACTGTTCATTGACATTTGAAGGAGAGAAGACAACATGTTGAAGATCACAGGTATCAATGGGGAGATCCGGCCAACTGACTGAAGAGTCTCGGCGGACAGCATGAGCTGAAATCTGGCGATTCTAGGCAACTAATGTTTCTCAGTACTCCTAAAGGGAATCAAATTCTCTTGACAGAATGACACTCTTAAAATCACATAAGACTTGTGTAGAAGCCAGAATGTCAATAAATTAATTTACAGTGGAAGCTAGCACTTTGCAGTGACTAGAGTATTTGGGCCAGGTACTATGCTAAGAACTTGAATACATTATTACTCACACTAGATACAGATAGTAGTAGTATTCATTTTAAAGATGAGGAAACTGAAGCCCAAATTAAGTATTTCTCCTAAGGACCTGTTCTCTTAACCATTGTTAAAACTGGCATAATAAAAAATGTGTTGAACCTTTGTTTGAATCTATTTTTCATCTTTAAATTGGCACCTATTTTATATAGTTATGGTATTAAAAATGAACATATGTAAATGACTTAATTTCTTTCTCCTTTGACAAAATCTTACCTATAATCTTCATGAAAAAAAAAAAGAAATGAAGTAAAAATCCTACAATTTCTGCAGGTAATTTATTATGCCTATTTTGAAAGTCCTTAGACATTAAATATAGAATGCTCAGATTTCTTTCTGTATGATTTCTAAAAAGTGAATAGAATATTTGCTCATTCATTCATTCTAAAAAACCCTTACTGAGGATTTATTTTGGTAAGTCATGGTTATACATTATAATGTATAAAAATATTAGTTTCTTTACTCATAAAGCTTACTGTCTGGTGAAGGACGAAAGACGTTACATTAGAAAACAAGTGTGTGAAAATTCTACAAAGGAAATGAACAGGGTGCTATAATAAAAACAACTTATATGTGTAAAATAACATTTTTTTTCCAATATTAACTAGAAAATGAATACTGTTCTCTCTTATCCTGTTCATTGAGCCAAAATTTCCCATACCTGAGTTAAGGAAGATGTGCTTGAAATCTGCATTAGTAATTTTATAGCTCTCACAAGTTAATAAAGCACACAGCTTTTTTTCTTTTAACTTGGGAAGCCAACAAATACATAAGTGGTAATGACATCAGTGATCTCTACAGGCACATCAAAGTGCAGCGTGCTATATCAATAAATACACAATCAGACACTTGGTCATTGGATATCCAAGGAGCCTGTGGCTACACTGCTGGACAGTTACATTCTGTCTTAAAATACATAATTATTTTGAGGTGACCTGTATTGGTGACTCTGGGTGTCCTCAATTGTAGCATAACTTTTTGCAAGAGATGATCCTGTTAGTGTACGGGGGATGTTTCTGCTTCAGCCAAAACCTAAAACTTTAATAAGCAACTATTCACCAACCCCTCAAATATGCATATATATATTGCCCTCTTGCCTATACCATTTATTTCCACCTATGTCTACAAAAAGAATGGTACTAGATCTAAGGAAAAAGGATGGGAAAATCCTTCATTTTTACCCTAGAAGGGCAAACATATATTTGGGAGTGCTTATCTCAAGGTTTGCTTCTACTCAGTTTCACTTTTAATGGGCAGAAGATAAACTCTTACTACAGATTTCCTCACCACCAAAACATTTATAATGCAGATATAGTCCCAATGAAGATATTTTATTGTAATCTTTTCAAATGACACATTTCATCATTAAACTTTTGGTTTTGCATCTGAGATCTGTCAAGGAAAATAAATGGCTTACAAGAAAACAGATTAAAAAGCACCTTTAATTTCAAGCAAGATTTAAGTTTAAAACATCTTTCTTGATAGGTCACTTACACGTTCATTTAATATTCAATATTATTAAGGAAATAAGAAATAAAGCAATTTTTTCAGGGGAAAAAAAAACAAAACTACATAATTTCTACTTGCCACTCTTAAAACTAACCAATCGTGTAGCTTTAAATTGGAAGGAACTTTTAAAGCCCAGGATAATTTTTCAGTGAGTGTTAGGGTCTATATATTAGGTTGGCTTGAGAAAGATAGCTGATAAGTTATCTTCCTCTCTACCATTAAAACAACCCCTTTGTAGGACATTTAAACCCTTGGCAATATCTCACAAGATCTTAATTTCAGCACAGAAGGTGGCTCCTTTTTCTGGGTGTTCCAAAAAAAAAAAAAAGGACTGAATAGAGGATCTGTATTTCGGCCCTATCCGTAAAGAACAGGAGGCAAAATGGTTAGAATAACGGGATACTAATATTGACATCACAGGTTCAGGGGGTTCAAATGTATCTTAGTAAAGCACTTGGAGCCTCAGGCCATAGAAGCTCCGGATGTACCAAGTGTTTTGTGGGAATAACAAACCTGCATAGACCAAAAAGGTGACGAGTGCTGCCAGCAAGTGGATACGAAGCTTGGTTCGGACCTCCTGGAAGTGCAGCAAAGCACTGTGGAAGATAAAGGAGCAGATGGCCTCTATGACGAAGGCTTTGGGCAAGTCGACGTGGATGGGGTTCCTGCAAGTGAGGCTCCTCTCGCTGACGTGATACCTGGTCAGTCCCAGGCTCCACAGGGCGCCTATACAGTACCTGCTGCACAGGGCCCCAATCAGCTGAGCCAACAGCCTCATCGCCCCTATCTCGGGGGACATTCCCCCTAGTATCATCTGCATCATCACACCGCACGGGTTGCTGGAGGTGCCCACCAGAGTCACGCCATGCACCAACGAGAAGAAGTAGATTAGCGTCAGCGGCCAGGTGGGGTGCGCAGGCTCCTGCTCGCTCAGCACTTGCAGCTCATGAGTGCAGAAGCAGAGCTGGAAGGTGGCCAGAAACTCCAAGATGAAGATGTGGGCCATGGGCCTGTGCATCTGCCGCCGGAGGACCACGCGAGCCAGCGCCACAGACAGCACGATCGACAGCATCAAGCCCAGCGAGGTGCAGGTGTCCTGCACCTCGGGCCAGAGCCCCCGCAGCGCCGTCATGGCTCGCTCCCCTCCAGACTAGGCTGCAGGTCAGCTCGGCAGCAAGCGCTCTCGGGGCTGGAGTCCGGAGTCCGCGGCCCCGCCCCCTCCTCAGGCCCTCGGGGCGGGCGGACTCTGGACGAGCAGGGGCCCCGGGCGTCACGCTGGAGGACTCCTCCCCCGCTCCCCGGCTCCACGCTAAGGTGTTCGGACTGGAGCCGGGGAGGAGGGGCGGGGAGGGGCGGCGCGGGAAGCTCTGCTAGGGCGCTGGCGGGGGTCAACGGTCAGCCGGGACCCGACACCCATGCACCCATGTCCCGTCTCTCAGGGACTGGGAGCAGGCGCCGGTGGCGCTGGGAGCGGAGGGACGCCCGGCGCCCAGAGACCACAGCGCATGCGCGCGACGGCCCGCGCACCCTGCCCGCGCTCCATCTGGGACCTCAGGTTTGCGGCCAAGCCGCGTGCAGGTTCGTCCCGCGCGGCGTGGGAAGCTGAGTGACTACTGTACTTTGCCCGTTGCTTTGAACCGAGGAACCTGTGGATTTTCGGACCTGCTCCTAAAACTGTAAAACCGTCGAGCTGGAAAACACCTAAAGATCATCTTGGCCAACCACCTCGTTTTTTGTTAATGGGGCGACTGAGAAGACGGGAGGTGCCAGAGGCGCCGGCGGGGTGGAGGGGTGGTTTTGCGGCAGTAGACTGTAGAAGAGCGAATAGGGCTTGACCTGTGAAGAAGGGCATGCAACTGGGTCTCCTTGATATTCAAGTGCGTCTTCTTCACCATAGGACCCACCTCGTCCACCTGCAGCCAGAGCCCAGCACACAGGAAGTGTCCAATAAGTGTTAGTCTAAAGGTGAAAGAGCTGGTCTGATGGTGCGCAAGTCTAGTTTCAGTTTTGCAAGATGAAGAGAGTTCTGGAGATGTATGGGGCGATGGTTGCACAATAATGTGAATGTGTTACAGGTGCAAGGTTCCTGCACCCGATGCTTCAAAAGAAAGACCAATATCGAACCGTCGGAGTCTAGAGTAAGGAAAGGTTTATTGATTGAGTAGGCGCCAATTGAGGAGATGGGAGAAATAATCCTCAAATCCATCTTAAGAGAGCCCCAAATTCAGGCCGTCTTATCTGTCAAGGGAAGGGAGGAGGGGCGAGACAAGAGGCGGGTTTCTCTGCACCCGCTCTGTCCTTTCCCCAAGACAGCTAGACTGCTAGGCGCCGGAAAGGAGTCCAAGGAAGAGCTCAACCAACCCTTCCTTCCTTCCTTCCTTCCTTCCTTCCTTCCTTCCTTCCTTCCTTCCTTCCTTCCTTCCTTCCTTCCTTCCTTCCTTCCTTCCTTCCTTCCTTCCTTCCTTCCTTCCTTCCTTTCTCTCTCTCTCTTTCTCTTTCTTTCTTTTTTCTTTCTAACTTATCTTTATTGTTGAATGTATTACAGATGTTCCTCATTTTCCCCCCTTTGACCCCCCTCCTCCCCACTCCCGCGCCCCTCCTGCCTTTTCCCACACTGTTGTCTGTGTCCATTGGTTATGCATATAAGTTCTTTGGTTTATTTCTTCCCACCCCCCAACCCCCCTTCCCTTTGAGGTTTGTCAGTCTAGCAACCAATTTGTACTTCTTAATCCTTTCACCTTTTTCACCCATTCCCCGAACCCCCTCCCAACAAAATATTCTCTGTATCAATGAGAAGGTTTCTGTTCTGCTTGTTCATTTTGTTTGTAGATTCAGTTGTCGATAGATATGTATTCATTGCCATTTGGTTTGTTCATATTTTTTATCTTTTTCTCCAAGAAGACTCTTCAACATTTCATATAATAATGATGGTGATGAACTTTAGCTTTTCCTTGTCTGGGGGAACTCTTTATATGGCCATCAATTCTAAATGACAGGTTTGCAGGATAGAGTTATCTTGGTTGTAGGTTCTTGCTTTTCATCACTCTGAATATTTCCTGCCACTCCTTTCTGGCCTGCAAAGTTTCTTTTGAGAAATCAGCTGACAGTCTTATGGGAACTCCCTTGTAGGTAACTAACTGCTTTTCTCTTGCTGCTTTATTTTAAAATTTATTTATTTTTGTTACAGATGTTTCTCCCCCCCCCATACCCCCCTTTCCATCCCTCCTCGCCCTGTCCCCAGCTTTGTTGTCCACGTCCATTGTTCATGCATACATGCATATAAGTTCTGTGGTTTATCTCTTCCCCCACCCCCTCTTCTGGGGATTGTCAGTCTGTACCCCACTTCCATGTCTCTGGGACTACCCTGTTCCTCAAACTGTTATGTTTATTATATTCCACGAATAAGTGAAATCATGTGATGTTTGTCTTTCTCTGCTTGGCTTGTTTTGCTTAGGATAATACTCTCCAGGTCCCTCCATGTCGTCTCAAAGGATAAGAGATCTTTCTTCCTTACAGCTGCATAGTACTTCATTGTATATATGTACCACTGCTTTTTTATCCATTTGTCTACTGATGGACATTTGGGCTGTTTCGAGATCTTAGCTATTGTAAATAGTGCTGCTATGAACATGGGGGTACATATATTCTTTCTGATTGGTCTTTCAGGCTTCTTAGGGTATATTCCTAGAAGTGGGATCACTGGGTCAAATGGAAGTTCAATTTTTAATTTTTTGAGGTAACACCATATTGTTTTCCATAGTGGCTGCACCAGTCTGCATTCCCACCAGCAGTGTACTAGAGTCCCCTTTTCTCCACAACCTCACTAACACTTGTTTGATGATTTGTTGATAGCAGCCATTCTGACAGGTGTGAGGTGATACCTCATTGTTGTTTTAATTTGCATCTCTCTGATGATTAGTGATGTTGAGCATTTCTTCATATGTCTCTTAGCTACTTGTACGTCCTATTTCTTGCTGCTTTTAAGATTCTCTCTTTGTCTTGAACCTTTTGCATTTTGATGATGATGTGTCTCGGTGTGGGCCTCTTGGGTTCATCTTGTTTGGGACTCTCTGTACTTTCTGGACTTGTATGTCTGTTTCCTTCACCAAATTAGGACAGTTTTCTGCCATTATTGTTTCAAATAGGTTTTCGATTTCTTGTTCTCTTTTCTCCTTCCGGCACCCCCAAGATACGAATGTTGGCACACTTGAAGTTGTCCCAGAGGCTCCTTACACTATCCTCATTTTTTTGGATTATTTTTTCTTTTTGCTGTTCTGATCGGGCATTTTTTGCTTCCTTCTATTCCAAATTGATGGTTTGCTTCTTGGCTTTACCTACCCTACTATTGAATCTGTGTAAATTATTCTTTATTTCAGTTAATGCCTCCTTCATTTCTGACTGTGCATCTTTCATTTCTGACTGGTCCTTTTTTATGCTCTTGATGCCCTCACTAAGTTCACTGAGGTTCTCACTAAGTTCATTGAGCATCTTTATAAACAGTATTTTTAACTCGGCATCTGTTAGGTTGCTTATCTCTGTTTGTTTATTTTTTCCTGGGGTTTTGTTCTGTTCTTTCATTTGGGACCTGTTTCTTTGTCTCCTTATTTTGGCTGCCTCCCTGTGTTTGTTTCTATGTATTACTTAATGATGAGGTATGGGGCTATCTGAGACCAGATGCTGCTTGTTCGAAAGAATTTAGGAAAACCTGAAGCAGGATCCAAGACAGGCCAATACTATGGTTAAGCAACTGACAACAGCTTGGGTGGGCCTGGAAGTTGGGTGGGGCGGGGCCTCAGGGAATCACCAGGGCGGGGCCAACAGTGTGAGCCAGGTTGCTGGAGTCCCATATATGGTGGCCGTCTGCTGCCCCAGGGAAGGGCTCACCAAAGGAACAAAGGCCTCTGACAGCATGTTTGTCCTGGAGAAAGCCCCCTCTCCAGCCCTCACTCTAATGGCAAACAGCTCAGTTCTTCCCTGTATGTCTCTGGAGCCCCTCAAGAGGCTTTCCCTCTGAGCTTAGAGGGAGCAAGTCTGGGTAAGTCTGTGCGTGGGCCCTTTAAGGAGCTGCCTGGGGCTCCAGCCGCCTCAGCCTCCCTGAGCCTCAGTTCCCACTGGTTTTTCCAGCCAGAAGTGATGGAGACTTTTCTTCCTGGCACTGGAACCCTGAGCGGGGTGCCTGGTGTGGGATGGGGACCCCTTAGTCCTCAGGGAGGACCTTTCCAGCCGAGGTGTCCACCTGATTTTTATCTGCCACACTTGGGTGTGGGACCAGCCTGTCGTGCCTCTGTCCCTCCTACCAGTCTTGATGTGGCTGCTTCTTTAATTTTGTAGTTGTAGGACTTCCATTTACCTCAGTTTCAGGTGGCTGTTCTGTAGTTTAGTTGTAACTTTGATGTGGTTGTGGCGTTTACCTATGCCACCATCTTGACAGGAAGTCCAAGAGCTCAACATTTCTAAATCCCTTTATTCTATAAAATACCTGACCAGTACTCCTCAACATTGTCAAGGTCATAAAAAATAAGGGAAGTCTAGTCCTGGCCCGTGTGGCTCAGTTGGTTGGAGTGTAATCCTGTGCACTGAAGGTTCTTGGTTTGATTCCCGGTCAGAGCTCATAGGCAGGTTGTAGGTTCAATCCCCAGTCAGGGCATGCATGGGAGGCCACCAATGGATGTTTCTCACATAGATGTCCTCTCTCTCTCTCAGTTTACACCCCCCGCACACACACACACTGAGAAACTGGCATAGCCTAGGGGAGCCTAGGAAATCATGATGACTAAATGTAGTATCTTGGATGGAATCCTGGGACAGCTAAAGGACATTAGGTAAAAACTAAGGAAATCTGAATAAAATACGGACTTTAGTTAATAATAGTAACATTGGTTCATTAACATGAGGCCTTTTCTTTCTAGATGGTCTTCACCATCTCTTGTCATTGCCAAAATCACCAGTGCCAACTCAAGTTCTGGCGAAACTATGTGGTGTTCCAAATTCTACTAAAAACAGTTAAGCACAACTTTTGGGGCAGGCAGCTGTGGACACCAGCAGCTGCAGAGTGCTTTGGGCATGTACCTGAGGCCCATCTGCCCTATAAGCCTCAACAGAAACAGAGAGATCTGCCCGGCTGGTGTGGCTCAGTGGTTGAGCATTGACCCGTGCACCAAGAGGTCGCTGGCTCAATTCC